GTTGGCGGTTTAGGGTCTGAAATTTGGGGTTATATACGGGGTTGGATGTTTAGGGTTCCGCTTAAGGGCAGGTCCATGCACAGTTCGTCGGAGTGCGTCGGGTGTAGCTCGTTTTCACGCTGAAGCGCTTGTGATCCTTGATTGTGCGGTTCCATCAGATCAAACACATCATCTTTGTGGCATACGCCTGTGCACTGCCAAGCACGGTGTTGTCTCCGTCCGTGTCGCAGCTCTCGCGCCCAGTGATTAGCATCTTTGATTTCCCCGTTGGAAGGCTTGTAGGATCCTTGAAATAAGACAACGGGTAACTCAAGGGGTTGTATGGGATCAAGTACATCTAAATTGCATATCAGTTGCACAAACACACTTATGTGTTGCGACAACCTACAGACTGATGCTCTGGATTGGCCATGGGCTTGAACAGCTTGTATCAGTCTGCAAAATCGTCATAGTTACGTTATTGATAGTATTTTTGCGCCTGTTTGCAAAACTTCGTTCTCCTGCCAAAAGCGGCACAGCTGTTTGAATCTCTCACCTTAAACCCTTAAACCGAATGGATTTTGCTTGGTGTTGAGTGTCCTCGGTCTCACAATGCCTCACAGGATGAGTTGCTTAGATTAGCCATGGGCTTGAAAAGCTTGTGAACGTCTGCAAAACAGTTATCGATAAGTTATCGATAGTACTGTTTGTGCCTCTCCGCAAAACCTCGTTCTTCCGCCGTAAACATGTCCGGTGCACAGCTCTTTCAACTGCTCACCTTAAAACCCTGAGTTCTATACGAAGAACATAGCAGCAAATCTCAAAAGACAGCAGAAAGTGCCGAATTCATAAAAGAGAATAGTTTTCACTGTTTAAACGCATGTTTGTGTACATAGTTGTATTCTCCTTGTTTTCAGAAACACTTTTTCTGCTCTATCAGTTGAAACATGTTGATGTGTTTTCATATTATTTTTTGTGATTTGTTTAAGGGTTTTCTTCTGATTTCATAGTTTGCATATGTACATCAGCATATATATATATACACATATACATATACTTACACATATCTATATATATATATATATGTGTATATATAGATATGTTTTCTCAACAGGTTTAGTTTGTTTGCAGAATTTTGAACTGTTCTGTTTGCTTGCAAAGATCTGTTGTGTTGTTTAAAAGGCTCTAATTTTCTTGAATCATTTTCAGTTTTCTCTACTTGTTTTATGGTGTAATTGTCTTTTTGATGTCTTACTGTTATGCTGTTGTTTATTTTTTTTTGTTGCTCAGTTCGTTTTACTATTTCCATGGATTCATTTCGTTTCAGTAGAGTGTTTTTTGTTTTTTAGCTTAGTTTTATTGATCGGCATGTTCTGTTTTTTTTGGAATTGTTTTTCGCTCGTGGTTTTTCATTGTTTTAACGTTTCAGTCGTGGTATCTTATACATGTTGTTTTTGAGCTTTTGTGTTGGTCCTTATTCCAAATACATCACTTATTTGTAGTTCTCGAGTTTTGTAGTTTTCATGGTTTGTTTGAGACTTTGTCTGTCGCATTTCTTGTTTTACATTGTTTACGCGATTTTCATGGTTCTAAATGTTGTCAGTTTATCTTTGCTATGCATTTGCTGTTTGTTTTTCTTCATTGTTTACTTTTCAAGTTTCTTAGCTTTTGCTTTGGAAAATTATTTTGTCAATTTGTGTTTGCTTGTTTCATCATGTGTATGTTTTTAGTTGTGTTTGTGCTTTAACTGATTTGTTTGTTTTCCAGGTTTTTTAAGTTCTACTTTTCAAGAGAAGTTTAAAACCTGCTTAAGTCTTGCAAAACTTCCTTTTTAAACAGTGTTCAATGCAAGATTTCGCTGAAGACCCACGGAGCGGAGCGCAGTAATGTTTATCCTGGTCTAGCGAAGCCAAAGGCGAAGCGAACTTGCAGCTTTTCGTTGTCATGTTTCCAAGACATTTTGGCTTTTTATTTTTCCATGTCTCACATGCAATGTTTTCCTCAGTGCGATTTTGAATCATGTCACGCCGGTGGTGATGCTCAAGCTGTGTTCGCTTAGCAAGAAAAATTTTTGAGACCTCCGCTAGGGGCTTGTAACGGCGTCCTAGCAGGTTCCAGGCCCTTTATCTCAAGGCTTTAGGGCGTCACGACCCCCCGCCCTGGTGCGGGGTGTCAGATGGACTTCGGCGACGCGCTCGCCGCAGGTTCGTCTCATCGTTCCGAGCAAAGCTCTGAGAGCACTCAGGAGATTTTGAGTCAGCATATCTACGAGCTCCAGCTGGAGGTCAACGAACTAAGGCTTCAGGTGCAAGCTCTCACAACCCAGGTGCAAGCACTAGAAGAGAGCCGCTCTCGCGTCTGGGTGAACCAGACAGGCCATCATCAGCGCCTGTCGTGGCTTGAGGGAATCATTCAGAGCCTGCGCTCTGCCTTCAGGTCGTTTCTCGAGCCGCCCTTGCACGAGTCTTAAGCTTCTTTTCCGGGGGATGAGTGCTGAAGCTTTTTATCCGGATGAGGGAGCCGATGAGGGGGCCGTCTCGCAGCCTGTTGAATCAGGTCAGCAGGTCCCTCTGTCTGAGGGGGCCGTCTCGCAGTCTGTTGAATCAGGTCCGCAGGTCCCTCTGTCTGCCATACCTGCCAGCCCAATATCTCCGAGTGCGGCTGTGTTCGAGGGCACACCTGATCAGGGTCCCTTAGCGGCCTTCATGAGCAGCCCCGTCGAGGGCGATGATCTTACTGAGGAACAGCTGGGGGGCTTGATGTCTCGCGAGGACACACAACTTCCCCCTGACGACGACCCGATTGCAGACCGTTTGGAACAGCAGCTTGCAGGCTTCATGGCCTACGGCGGCAGTGCAGGTGATTGGCATGCCATGAACTCAGGTTTCATTCTTGCAAGGCATTCCCGTCAGGCGATGCCGTGGGAAAGAGTGACGAGGCCCCGCTTGGGGCCCGGCTTCATGTTCCAGGAGCCGTTGCTAGGTCGCTTCGACGGCCTTAGGAGGGCGGCGATCCCCGCCCCTGCAGCAGGGCCGTGGGCATGGGTGCCCAAAGGAACTTACGAGGCCAGGCGACTTCTCGCAGCCAGGTTCGCCAAAAGCGATGACATGCTTAGGCTTACAGCACTGAAGAAAATTCGGCTCATCGTGCTTTTCTTCCCGGATGATTCGGAGCTTGGAAGGAACCTCGTGGGTTCTGCAGGCTCCCTGGTGGAGGAATCCATGCTGACCTCGACCATCGAGGACACTTTTTCAGGCAGAGCCGCCAGCACCCTCCTGAAGCGTGCTTCGGATTTCTCGAGGTTTGCCAAGTGGATCGTAGCTAGCAAAGGGCGCCCTCTGGCGCCTTCCGAGGGCGAGTTGTATGCTTATATGCTTCACTTGCGACGAGAGAAAGCAGGAGCCACTGCCGGCGAGTCTTTTCTCAAGGCCTACAAGTTCTTTGTGCACTTGACAGGGGCTGCGCAAGGCTCCCGGATTTCCCCGCGTGTGCAGGGAGCAGCCAAGGCGATGTCCATGGCCAAACGGCCGCTCTGGCAAGCACCGCCCCTACCGGCGGAGGCAGTGCGGCTCTTGGAAGAACTCGTCCACGACTCCGAGGATTATGCCAGGGCTAGCATAGCAGGGTTCATTCTTTTCTGCCTTTACTCCTCGGCCCGATGGTCGGATGCGGCTCGAGGGACTGACTTGAGCATTGACGTGGCAGGTAACGGGCTTGTCCTTCTTGAGTGTTCGACAAAACATTACAAGACGAAGGCCAAGGACCGAAAGGATACCGTGCTGCCTTTGATTGCACTGGGCAGTGGCTTAACTCAGCCCTCATGGGGACGTGTCTGGATGCGCAAGAGGGCCCTGGCAGGGCTACCAGACTGTGCCGTAATCATGCCGGCCATGTCGCCGGGAGGGAACTTTCTAGGAAGGGCCATGACGGCTGCGGAGGGTTCCTTGTGGCTTCGTGAGTTTTTGCACTTGCAGGGTTTCGCGGGGGATCTTGAACAGTACAGCTCGCACAGCCTGAAAGCAACCGCCTTGTCCTGGACGGCCAAGAGCGGGACCATGACCTACGAGGAGCGCCTTACCCAGGGGCATCATTGCAGTCCAAAGCACGGCATGGCTCTCCTGTACTCGAGAGATGCGCTTGCAGAAATCATAGTGAAGGTAGCCAAGGTCGTGAGTGCTGTGAGCCGGGGAGTGTTTAGTCCCGACCTCCCGCGAGCCGAGAGGGTCGCAAGAGCTCTGCATGGCGATCCAGCAGATTTTGCACATCTTCCTGAGACGACGGCTGAGGATTTGCCGGCCGAAGAGCCGCAAGATGAGAACAACTCCGAGGCTGGGTCCGACATAACAAACCTCGACGGCCTCGAAGTGGACCTGGGAGCACCGGCCCCGGAGGAGGTCCGTCCTCGGCTTAGCAGCACGTTCTCGGGAGAGACCTACATGCACGTCTTGAGTGGAGTGGTGCATAAGTTGGTCAACCCCGGAATTTTTAAGTGCGGCAGGAAGGTCACGGCAAACATGCGTTTGATGGGGCCCGAGGAGGCTCAGGAGAATGTCTGCCAGCAGTGCGCAGCTTGAAGAAAAGAGGATGTGCTCAGTTGATCGTTTGCTGATTTGCGACGTCGTGCCTATGCCATTTGAGATGAGGGTGCTCGGGCCGATTGAGATCAGATAGAGTGTTTCTTGCTTCGAAGCACAAAACCGGACTGGGAAGTGTCCGCAGTCTTTTGGCTGGGAGTTGCCAAACTGGGGCGAATCTCCCGCGCGGCCTGGTGAGCACCCAAGCTTGAACTTAGCGGGAGTTTGATTGGGGGCTTTGAGATTGCAAGAACCCCCGTGGTCGGCTGCCTTTGCCGGCCTGAGTCATGAAAAATACTATTGGAACGCGACCGGCTGGGATCGCCGGTTCACGAAGGCCGCCTGTGATCGGTGGCGAAGAAGTGTGAATCCGAGACAAACTCGACCCACGGTTGACTTCGCCGTGGGTGAGACCTCGAAACCTGTATCCTCACCTGCCCAGGTCTCATGGCCGGACTTGAATCGGTGCCTGCCTTCACCGACCGAGCAAAGCAGATCGGCATCAGCGAGGACCTTCTGAAGAAGCTCCTTGCTAAGAGCTTGGACACCTTCGGCAAGCTAGCTTTCGTGTGCTCGAGCAAACCTTCCAGCGGGGATGACACTCCTCTCTTCGAAGCCCTGAAGACTCTGATCGGGAGTGAGGTTCCAGTGGAACAACATATGGTGATCAGGAGATTGTGGTACGAGAGCCACGCCCACGCCCTGGTTGACTTGGAATCGAGGGCTTCGAGAACAAGTGATACAAGCCCCCGCGAGCTTCCGTTGGCTGAACGCCTAACACGCTTGAAACGCCAAAGGGGCGAGCTTAAAGGCCTCGAGATGGATATCCACACAGAACCTGGACACGGCCTTGTGGACCGCGTCCAGGCCATGCTCGATTCTGCACAAGTGCTGCACATCGCGCCGGAGAAGTGCATTTCCCGCCATGACGAAATCCTGGGTGAGAAGACGGAACAAAAGATCTCTTTGGGAGCCGACGGGAACATCAAGGTCACGAAGCAAGCCTCGAGCCTCCGTTGCGAGACTACCGGCGAGCTCAAGCTTCGCCGGTGCTTCCTGCGCCGGGCCTTAGCGTTCGATCAAGTAGGGCTCGCCTCCTTCACTGCACTGGAGTCTTGGCACAACCGCATGTTCCAGGCTCTGCTTGATGTGCCTCCGGCAGGTTATCGCTACACTACCGTTCAGCAGCTGCTTGCAGCTGATCAGAAGCTTTGGCAGGTGGTGGCCCAGGAGAGCCGAGGTGACATCGTCGTCGGGGTCGGAGCCCCGGCTCCTCTTGACAAGCACATAGCCGCTGCTGCAACCAATCAGTTTGTCGTGTCATGCTTGACTCACCTGCCCAAGCCCTTGGAAGCTCCCGCTCCCACATGGCTGCCAAACAAGCCCGGCAAAGGACCCGGCAAGAAGGGGGATAAGGGAAACAAGGGCGGAGGCAAAGGCAAGGGCAAGCAAAACCATAGCCAATCCGGTGCGGAAGCCGCCCCGACAACCTCCTTGAAGGAGCTGCTCGAATCTCTGCCAGAGGGCTGTGTGCGAGCCACCGATGAAGGTCGCTTCATCTGCCCTTTCTACAATAAGGGCATCTGCCGATTCCAGAAGCGCAAGTCGTGCCGGTTCGGGAAGCATGTGTGCAATTTCAAAGGCTGTGGGGCTGAGAGGCCGTACATCGAGTGCAAACATTGACTATCCGCAGGCGAGGCAGCCAATGACAGTTCTCCAAATTTGTGTTCGGGGGCTTCAAGTGAGCCCGAAGTCTTTGCCAAACAACTTTTGCAGCAGAGTGAGCCCATATCAGCCTCGCAGGTGACCGCTTTGTTTGATGCGTTGCCACACGACCAGTGCGATCGGAGTGGTTCGGGTTTTTCCTTCTCTGCAGGACTCTACTCACGAGTCCAAGTGGGCCTCCGCAAGGCCTGCAAGCTGTTTCCACTTTCTGTGCAGGCGGTGAATAAGTTTGTAGCTCATTTGCTTGACGGCGCAGTTTACACGAGTTTTGCCATATTTTCCAGAGTACAGACCCGGGAGCACCGGGACAAGCAGAATTCCTTTTTGCCAAACATAGTGATTCCTTTGACTGCATTCACTGGGGGGGCCATCAAGGTCTTGGAACCCAACCGCGAGATCGACCTTGAGGTTTCGAAAGGACCGGTGCAATTTTGTGCTAGGCAGCACCCGCACTCAACTTGTCAAGCGCACGGGCGACGAACCGTGCTTGTGCTCTTTTCCCTTAAAGCAGCTTCGCATGCTTCTGCCGATGATCAGCTTTGCTTGAAACGTTTGGGCTTCCCTCTGCCCAATCCGCGACAGCTCAGCTCCGTCGAAGTCTGCAAGTCCGAGCCTATTTCCTTGGGTGAAGCGAAGCAGCGCCTCTTGCCGTTTCCAGACAAACCTCAAACCGGCAGTGACCCGGGTGCCCTGGGAAAGCCGACTCACGAAAGTCGTCCGCCGTCCATGGTAGAGTGCTTGGCCTGTCGTGGTCCCTTAGCAGCAGAGGCCCTCCTCACCGGATGGGACGCGATTCCGGTAGGTAAAGGCCCTCACGATCCCCACGGCTCGCCCATGTTGCATTTGGATCTCTCTGAGGAGGAAAACGTGCAGGCACTTCTCCGATTTGATTCGTCGGCAGCTGTTGATTGGTGGCACGGGCACCTCTTCCTCAAATCCTGTGCTCGGTTGGATCGGGGATCTTCCAAACAACCTTTGCGGAGAGCTGACTGCATTTTCGGTTGCCCTAAACTTGCCCCTCGAGCCCAGGACCTGGTGCACCGTGACAACAAGGTTTGCAGGGCCCTTGTTTCAGCCTTGCAACGAGCTCATCAAACCGGAGCCCTCGTCTCACTCATCGGGCCTGCCAGGAGCTGGGTTTGGAGCCTCCTAGCGAGCACTGTGAAATCCACCCAATCGAAAGACTTCATTCGGTTCGCCTTTTCTTACCTCACTCAAGGTCAAAGCCACGCCCGGAGCTTTCCCGCAGATCTCTGCTACGTGTGACAAATCACATAAGCATCAAGCTTGGCTGCCTTCGCCGGCCGGTGGCACCTTCAACGATGCTTCCCTGCCCCATGGTTTGTGCCAACGCCTGTGCGAGTGTGCCACCAAGCTCGTCACCGGATCAACTAAGCACCGTGCAGCAGGCCGCTGCCGTCAGCTCCGGGCTGCTGTCAGGGCCGCCGCGGCCAATCAGTCTCATTTCACGCCACCCCTAATTCCTGAGTTTCGGGTGGTAACCCCTTTGTCCCAAGTGCCTTCGAATGCTGATTTCAAGATCTTGGACAAAGTCGGCTCGACACCGGGGGAATTGGATGAGCCGGATAAGCGGTTTAGGCTTAATGGTTCTCCCCCTAAGTCCTCGGCTCCCCGAGTAGGTGCAGTGGCTGGTGTTTACCACACCATGGAAGAGCACCTTCGTCTTGCCTCAAATTTGTGCAGTCCAGCTGATACAAGCGAGAGGCTGCCAGATCAGATCAGGCGGAACATTTTCGCCATGCTGACCGAAGGACCCGTGGCGATCTCAAAGAAAAGGCTTCTCGCTCTTCAGCAGCTGAACCGAAGAGTGCAGGAGCTTGCAGATGAAGAAAGAACGCTTCGCGAGAGCATGCACCCCGATGTAGAATCCGTGACCAGGGGGAAAGCGATCTCCTTGTTCAGGGAACTGCTTGAGGAAACCGCCTTTGCAGACATGTCCGTAATCGATTTGCTTGTGAAAGGCGTGCCACTTGTGGGCCAAGAGCAAGACTCGGCCCTTTTTGCCAAACGGCCGAAGCCGCAGGAGATCAGCCCGGACCAACTGCGGGCCCAGTCAGCTCTCAGGAGGGACGTTCTACAGCGCACGCGAAAACTCGTCTCTCAGGAGGACTACGCCGCCATGCGGGCGGAGACGGACGAAGAGGTCAAAGCTGGTTTCCTGAGTGGACCGTACTCTTCCGAGTCCGAGGTCAGTAAAGTGCTGGGGGCCACAAACTGGTCTCTTTCGCCCCGCTTCCTCCTGAGGCAGGGAGAGGACGCAAAGATTAGGATAATAGATGACTTCAAAATGTCAGCTGTTAACCGTGCCTTCGGATCTTCATCGTTCCTCGAGTTGCAGGACACGGACTTCGCAGTGGGTTTGCTTAGATTCCTTTCGAGGGTTCTTCAGGATCGCTCCCGAGTAAGGGTGCCTCTGCTTGATGGCTCGGTCTTGGAAGGCAACTGGGCGCCTGAGATGCTGTCGGCCCCTCCCCTGTTGGGCAAGACGCTGGATTTGAGCAAGGCCTATCGTCAACTGGCAATCCACCCTGACTGCAAGGAGTTCTCAGTGCTGGGTTTCCCTACGCCCGCTGGTGGCTGGGAGTACTACATCACGAGGAGCCTCCCGTTTGGGGCCGGCGCGAGCGTCTTCGGGTTTAATAAGGTTGCCCTAGGGGTTCTGCACATCATGACAGTGAAGTTCATGGCAATCGCCACGGACTTTTACGATGATTACACCATCTACGAGTTTAAGCCTGCTGCTTCCTTGCTGGATAAAGCCCTCATGCGGCTGCTGGACATCCTGGGCTGGACCTTCGCGCGCTCCGGGCGCAAGTTTGTGCCTTTTGCCGAAAAGGTAACTTCCTTAGGTGTAACCTTGGGGCTTGAGGAAATTTGGCAAGGAACCTTGACTGTGGAGAACAAGGCGGGCAGACTTGAGCGCATCGTTCAGCAGCTGAAGCGGATTTCGCAAGGAGACGAGATCACCCGATCAGATGTGGCTTCCCTACACGGCCTGCTCAACTTTGCCGGGGGTTTGATCTTAGGGTTCGAGCTTAAGGCCACCTCGCGTATGCTGTCGCGAGCCCTGACAGGCCCATTCCGAGGCAACACAACAGAGTTGCAGCATGCTTGTGCGTTGGCCTTGGACGTGTTGTCGCAATGTCGCCCCAAGCGGTGCCCTGCATCGGTGAAGCCACCCATCATCCTGTACACCGATGGGGCATACGAGAAAGGCGTTGGGACTTGGGGTGCCGTCATTGTAGATGGGGTCACCGGAGCTCGGTGGACCTTTGGCGGGACCGTCTGCCAGCAGCTCAAAGACCTCTGGGAGCGGCAGGCCGGAAATCAGATCATTTGCCAAGTTGAGGGTTACGCTCTTGCAATTTTGATCTTCGGTCTTAGGGGTTTCTTGAAAGGCAGGTCGGTCATAGCCTTCATCGACAACGAAGCATGCAGATATGGCTTCATCAAGCGGTACTCGCCATCCTTGAGCCTTCTTCGCTTAATCTCGTTGGTGGCGCTGTTGGAGGGGTCTCTCGAGGCCCTACTTTGGTTCGAGCGAGTGCCCTCAAAGAGTAACCCTGCCGATCTCCCGTCACGGGGAGCTTTCGAAGAGGCTTGCAAACGCTTCGCAGTTGAGAACAAAGGTGACATCGCATTGACCCCTACGATGCTTGATTTCCTTTGTGCTGCTGACTACAGTGCTCATACGGCTCAGGCAATCTTGACCTCCACGCGACTGGAGGCTGACTGGACATGCTCAGCTTTGCAATGAACCAGGGCCAGTGCAGCTCAGCTCGCGGGACGGGGGAGATGGTTGCTCGTGGATGGCTGCACTTGCCATCGGGGCTGATCTCGCCCTATTGTGCCATCGGACCCGGTGTTTTACCCCCGCTGAAGTCTTAGGAAGAAAAAGAGTGGTCCGAGTGATTGCAAGCTTGATTCACATGTCCGAAGATTTCTCAGATTATGATTGCGAATAAATTTTTCTTGATCGCGATATCTTTGATTATCCCAAATACCTATTTTGGGAAATACAACCTGCAAGGAGACCAGAGAAACGACCCACGGAGCGGAGCGCAGTAATGTTTATCCTGGTCTAGCGAAGCCAAAGGCGAAGCGAACTTGCAGCTTTTCGTTGTCATGTTTCCAAGACATTTTGGCTTTTTATTTTTCCATGTCTCACATGCAATGTTTTCCTCAGTGCGATTTTGAATCATGTCACGCCGGTGGTGATGCTCAAGCTGTGTTCGCTTAGCAAGAAAAATTTTTGACCTCCCACCCACCCGGCATTGGTTCAATACGGTCTTTGTTAAACTGGGGGAGATGGTTGCTCGTGGATGGCTGCACTTGCCATCGGGGCTGATCTCGCCCTATTGTGCCATCGGACCCGGTGTTTTACCCCCGCTGAAGTCTTAGGAAGAAAAAGAGTGGTCCGAGTGATTGCAAGCTTGATTCACATGTCCGAAGATTTCTCAGATTATGATTGCGAATAAATTTTTCTTGATCGCGATATCTTTGATTATCCCAAATACCTATTTTGGGAAATACAACCTGCAAGGAGACCAGAGAAACATTGTTGAACTTCTCTACATTTCGTAAATTTGGCGTCTTGGTGTATCCTTAACAAGTTTTAAGGTTTAGGTTTTTAAATCTGTTTACACGTTTTAAATTCTTGAAATCTTTACATGTTGAAGCTTGTTCAAAGAATATAATTTCTGCTTTTTGACTTGTTCAGTTTCCTTTGTTGTTTGAAAGTGTTGTTGTCCTTTCTTTTTTTTCAGAGAATGTCAAACTCAAAAATCCTGTCTTTTTTACAAAAAACCAAAACACTTACAAAAGCCTTCAATCCAATGTTGTGGATATCCTTGAAATTTGGAATTCGGCAAAGCTTGACAAACAGTTTTAACATTCTGTATATCAACATCATAAATTCCTGGAAGAAAGTTTAGAAACTCAAAAAGTTTATGGGTTTGAGTTATTGTATAAAATCACATGCTTTTCAACATGAAAGTGTCGAACGTTTTCTATATCAGGATGAAAATGTGAAGCATATTACACCAAATAGAAAAAGCCAGCAACAAAACCGACACGCACCAACCGCATAAGACTAAACCAAGACAAGGCTGCAAAAAGGTTTAAAACAATAAATGCTTTCAAGAAACATAAACTTGGAAACAAACAAAACCAGTAGTATTTAAAAACAACACAACAGCAACAAGACGCACGTAAGAAAGACAACATACATATAAGAATAAAGCACACAAACTAAATACGCACATGAAAATGACAAAGGTTTTTACCACCTGGGCAAATACAAACGGTGAATTCAAAGTAGGGTAACACATCAATTACCAAAGAAATGCAAACAACTTTGAAAAACACATTCAACGTGTAAAGACTTGAGCTTGGAAATCAAAAGCGCAAAGGCACAGAAACAAATTACATAAGATCCATTGAAATCATGGAAGCCTGAAGCATATACACAAATTTACTCAAATTAAAAGAACCTACACAGTTTAAAGCAATAGAATGAGAAGATCAAAGCTTTGTAGAGAGAATGAATGAAGAATAGATCAGACAATTTCGAAGACTTAAACATTCCAGGCCAAACGAAAGCTATCAACATTGATAAAACAAAAACTAACATGTTAGAGCATTCCGTCGAAAAGCCGAATTAAGATCGGACCACTGAGTCGAAAAGCGACATGTTCTGTAAAGACAGCGAATTTACAAGATAACAGATTGGAAAAATCTCAACTTGTAAACAGAAATACAGGGATGTATAAAGAAGCTGTTGTTACAACCACAAACACAATCATGGAAAATGGGTTGTTTTTCGAAAATAATCGCTATATGTTTTCTGTATAGGTGTTACAAAGAAAAACGAAATAGAATAAACCAGATATCTTACAATAGCATATACATGAATGAAACCCAACGAACCGGTAAAAAGATACCACGGCAACGATAATATTTCATCTGTAATCCCAACATGTTGAACTGGTTTAAAACAGCAGTATTGGTTTCTGTTTTCAAAAATGAGTTATGACTTTCACTGTATTGTGAAGTCATCCAAATAAAAGCAACGTAAGTAACACAGTTTTGGGCACCCCCAAAACACGGATGTTGAACAATATTTCTATTTCTCTACAATACAAAATATACATTCAAATGTAATTTTTGGCCGGGTTTTGTTGGCTAAAAATGCAGAATTGTATCGGAAGATAATGCTTTGTGAAGGAAGCGATTAAAAGTTTAATACCCGCATAAAACATAAAAGTCGTTAATATATAGAACATAAACATGTAAGGTTTCAATATATAGTATTATCACTTCAAAAATCTACTATTTCCAGCGAAAGAAATACACAAATAGTAACAGAACAATACAAACAGCAAGAACAATGAATTGAATACATACATACATACATACCTACATACATACATAAATGTACATACTTTCATAATATATATATATGTATATATACACATACATACATGTACCTATGTATCAGTTATATGTACATGCAAATGTATATGTACAAGTGTATGTATGTGTGTATGTGTTTGTTTACAATGTACGTATTCGTCCCCCAAGCAGACATAGATGTAAAAAATATGACCGAATTGCACATACGGAAGAATGGTTATAACACCATGTAGCCTGGACACATTTGTTGTACACATTTTCTTAACAGAGGCGGCTCGACCGGCAGTATGGTGGACACTATCCGAAGCAACAGCTTCACTTGATGTACCGGCAAGCCAAGCAATCAGGACCAGTTTTTTGCGGCCTGACGCACCGAGAAGCTGAACGATGTGTTGCCGCAGCATGGTTTAACTCTCAAACCTAGCCATTCCTTTAAATCATTCCACTAACCGTCTATTCCACAGCCCGCCCTCGAACCGAATACATGATTTGAAAGAAGTCGCGAGGTTCTACAACATCCTAGTTTAGGGTCTGTGAAACAGGATTTGGGCCTTATAGATTAGGATTCAAGACCTGCGAATTAGGGTTTTAAAACCCACGATTTATAGGACCTGTGACCAGGATGTAGGGTTTAAGCCCTACGAAAGAAGCTTTAGTACCTCATAAGACATAGCCCTTGACGGTTGCCCACGAATGCTTGACCAATGCCCACGCATTTTTGACCATTGCCCACAGACTGTCTTTGACTATTGCCCAGGAACTTTTGACCTCGCCCACGAGTTGTTCACCATGACTGTTCTCAGGCATTTCGTGGGCAATGGTCAAAAGTTGGTGGACAATGGGCAAAACTTCACGGTCAATGGTGAAAAATTGAAAACGACCATTGCCCACGAATTCTGAGACTATTGCCCGCGATGTTTTAAGCTTTCGCCAACGATGTTTTACCATTGCCCACGAAGGCCAGTAGGGATTGTACACATAAGAAGTAAGTAAGAAGTTCACGGCTTGAGGCTTCAAGGCGTAGGCTTTAGGGTTGAAACGTTCAAGGCGTCAACTCCATCTCACATCCCACCCTCATCCCAACCCCCACCCCTTTTCATAGCTCACCTGTGTTCTCCTGTTCAGAAAACAAGCTTCTGACTACATTGTCGCTTTCATGAACACTGATACAGGCTAGTTGGAACCCTCCCTTAATTGAGGAAGTATACACTATATAACGTGAAGATACCGCGTATGTACGCAAATCCTGTAATTGGTGAGTACTGGAAGGTCTGGGGTAACAAAACGAATTACCGGAAAAGGACGGCGAGGGCTACCATGCAGGGTTCGCCTCCTGGAAAAAGATGTGAACATGTGTGAATGAATGCAGTGGCTGTCGTGACGAAAACTTTCTGCGGAATTCGCCGGAAAAAAGGGGGCGGGGGGGGGCGCCCCCGTAGAAAGGATAAGCAGCAAACTTGATGGAGTGAAATCGTTTTTGTGGAAGGGTTGGGGTGGGAGGGTGTCTTGGAAATCTGCTCCGTGTGGGGGTCGTCGTGTCGCAGGGTCAGCGCAAAGCACACATGAGCGGCCCTGGGGAAACAGGAAATGAAGTGCACGGGTGGAGTTGTAGTCGCAGCCGTGGTCTACTCGCAGTTTTTGTTTGTGGAGTCTTCGGAAGCCTTTTGGAAGAAGTTCATAACATCGCAAAGGGCTGCCCTTATCGGCAACGTAGAGAACGGAGAATGCTGTTGAACGAGTGTCTTAGGCCGCTTAGGTACATAGGTGCTGATTGAATTAAATTCCTGTGAAATCTTCCGTGACCCTGAACACGCTTGATCTACATGATGGGTCACGTTTTGTGATTTGACTGCACCCGTGCAAGGGCGGGCGCAAGAGGAAGTTCTAATCAGGAGCTGGAGTTGTAGACTGAAGCATAATCTTCAGGCAGCCGCGCTTTCCTAAATGCTGTAACGACTGCAGCATTACAGCAGCTAGCCACTACTAGACAAGCCATTGTTTAAAAACTGGGGTCTGTTGCCAAAAGCTTGACAAATGCAAGCGCCGTATCTCGACACTGACACATCACAAGATTGCTTCTCATGCCAAACACCCAAGTTCACGAAACAGATTCAGCAGCACGGAGCTCCACACCTGGAAGAAACCGAAACCGATGGTTGAATCTGACCGCCAAACACTTTTTCAGCACCCTGCACCCCTTGCAGCCAATGCAGCCGCCTGTTAAGGGACCCAGCCCGATGCATTGTGGTGGGAACATGTGCCCAAGTTTCCAAAACCCTAGAAACCCCCACCTCACGAAATTTACCAGAACCGCCACAGGAAAACATATTGTTCTCCTTTTAC